AGGGCCACCAGCAGCTCCTGCCGGGCCGCGTAGATGACCGGGAGGGCCGGCGTGGACAGGACGCCCTGGCAGCAGCTGAGCACGGCGCCGACGTGCCTCTGGGATCCCGAAAGGGAGAACTCGGCGATTCTCTCGTTGATGACCTGAGCGTTAGGAGAGAAAGGAAGAAAGCTCATGACTGACCCTAAACCCACACACACAACACACCCAAAATACAACAGAATCAACCCACTCACTCCTTGCCCTCATCTTGATAAAAAAAAAAAAAAAAAAAAAGGAATGTCAGAGCCCGGCCAGTGTGGCTCAGTGGTTGAGCATCGACCTATGAACCAGGAGGTCACGTTTCAATTCCCGGTCAGGGCACATGCCTGGGTTTCGGGCTCTATTCCCACTGTGGGGTGTGCAGGAGGCAGCCAATCCCTGATTCTCTCTCATCGTTAATGTTTCTCTCTCTCTCCTCTCTCTCTCTCTCTCCCTCTCTCCCTTCCTCTCTGAAATCAATACAAGATATTTTAAAAAATAAATAGCCCTAGCTGGTTTGGCTCAGTGGATAGAGCGTCGGCCTGCAGACTGAAGGGCCCTAGGTTCGATTCCGGCCAAGGGCACATGCCTGGTTTGCGGGCTCGATCTCTAGTAGAGGGCGTGCAGGAGGCAGCCGATCAATGATTCTCTCTCTTCATTGATGTTTCTATCTCTCTATCCTTCTCCCTTCCGCTCTGAAATCAATAAAAATATATTTTTTTAAAAAAAATAAATAAAAGAATAAAAATTTTTAAAAAGTGACACACAATTTAGAACATACTTTCAAGAACCACTAGAGCCTATGCGGCTTCAGGCAGCTCGACCCTTTAATCCTTCCGCTGGCAGCCTTCCCTGCTCTTCTCCCTCTTCCTGCACGCACGTGGGCGAGGCAATGTGGGGCGAACAGCACCAGCCTGGCAGTCAGGCAGGCCTGGGCCACTTCCTCGCTGTGTGGCTTTAAGCAAGTTACTTAACCTCTCTGAACCTGGCACACACAAAGTGCTCCTTATAAGTGCTTTCTAGGGTCACCAGCTATGCCCAGCGTCTTTGCAAGTACTCCCGTTTTGACAACGAAGCTCATAATTCTGATCTGAGACTTCAAAATCACTCTGAGTCAGGAATCTGAGGAAATTCCGAAGCAGATTTTGGCCTCTGATCTCCCCTTCAGGCCGACAGGAAGGGGATGGGGGGGGGGGGGGCCCACAAAGTAACATTATGGGCTGGCTATCTCTTCCAGTCAAAAAGATAATCAACAGCCACTTAATGAAAGACTTCTAAACTTTTCCTGAATATTAAACAACAAAGTACTCAGCCCAGCGTAGAGCACACGATACTTGTTCGACGAATAACGGTCGTTATTACAACTCTAACTAGAGGCCCGGTGCACGAATTCGTGCACAGTGGGGTCCGGCCGGCTTGCCCCAATCGGGCTGATCCGCAGTGGTTGGCAGGCCGTCCCTGCCCCTAATTGTTTTGGGGGCTGACTGGGGCTGGGGCCACTGCGGGGGATGGGCCGTAGGTGGTTGGCCGGCCGGCCCTGCTCCCTGGTCAAACGCCAGGTGGAGTGGACAATTTGCATATTAGCTTTTTATTATACAGGATTTTATTTCTTTCTCCCCTACATTGACATTTCCTGCAAACTGATATAATTGACCCTAACACCAATAAGAAGCCCCCCACGCGGACAGGAAGTCGAGAGAGAAGCACGTCACACACACAGCACGACACAAGACATTCCTACCTTGACCAGGGAGACCTGGAGGGTAATGGTCTTTCCATTCTTGAGGAGGTGCTGCAGTTTTTTGCTGTGCAGAATGTTATCTACATAGACCCAGAGCCTTTCAACAATGTCCTCCTTCAGTTCAAGTTTCTTCTTATAAAATGAGACTAATGACTGGCTGGCCCAATCAAGTAATACCTAAACGTGGAAGAAATAGACTCTGAAAATGAGTGAAGTTATTTGCCGAGAAATAAAAACACTGGCCATTTACGGAGACATCCCAGGGACAACCAAATCCAACTGCCAGGGGGAACCCTCGCCTCTAAAGCCCACCTTTGGTAATGGTCTATTACACAGATGCTTTCACATTGTAAAATTATTATTATTCCAGAATAAAAACAAGTTGGTCTTCATCTGAGGTCAGTAAAAAGTTTCAATGAAATTCTAGCGGTTTCTTCTAATTTCTCTATACAGTTATGCTAAATTTCTCAGGTTAGAAGCACGATTGCTCAGAAAGGGCCACAAAACGAAGCGAAAATGCAGAGTTAAAAGATAAGGGTTTGGCCTGGCCAGCATGGCTCAGGGGTCATGGTTCAATTCCCGGTCAGGGAACATGCGCGGGTTGCGGGCTCGATCCCCAATGTGGGCGCGCATGGAGCCTACAACCCGGGCATGTGCCCCGCCCAGGAATCAAACCATGACCTCCTGGTTCATAGGTCGATGCTCAACCAGTGAGTCACAGGGGCCGGGCAATACTAAAGCTTTTCCCCCCGTGATTTCTCAGGCAACCTTCAGCTCATCAAATTCCAAAGACGTTCAACGAAGCTCCAACAAGTAGTTGCACATGAAACACGGCTTTGGATTTACGGACAAATGGAGCTACCAACACAGTCAGAACCTAAGTTTGGTACCTCACTCCCCATTTGTTCGCCGATGCACATGCTTAATTTGGAATAGGAGAGGTTTCCAAGCATAAGAGGTGCTGGTGGAGGTTTTGCAACAGAAACCGTTTGTTCATGAAACGCCAGACCGATTACTTTTCCTTCAGACATCACTTTAACTTCCAACCATGTTTCCTTCCCCAGCTTTTTCTCAAATCTTCTAACTTTTTTACAAAATGTCAACATGCAGTCTACATAACCGGTGATTATAGTAGGTTGTAAAAATGTAAGTTTCCCATTAGACTTACTTGCTCTTTGTTTGGAAGAATGCACTGGTGAGAAATCCAAGCAAAGTGCGCTAGCTTTAGTTTATCTTCCCAGGAAGTTCTCTTGCTTTTAAGCTTAAGGGAAATGCCAGAATAAACAGCAGCCATTGCCGCACCTCACCTACGATAGAACGCGATCAGAAAAGTTAGATTAAGGTCAAACTCTACAGGCACCAGAAAATGAACATGACGAATCTTATTGTCTACATAATACATGTGTGTGTGTGTATATATATATATATATATATTTCTTTAATGAATTAAAACACATCAACAGGCCCTAGCCGTTCTGGCTCAGTGGATAGAGCGTCGGCCTGCGGACTGAAGGGTCCCAGGTTCGATTCCGGTCAAGGGCATGTACCTTGGTTTCGGGCACATCCCCAGTAGGGAGTGTGCAGGAGGCAGCTGATCGATGTTTCTCTCTCATCGATGTTTCTAACTCTCTATCCCTCTCCCTTCCTCCCTGTAAAAAAAATCAAAAAAACATATTTAAAAAACAACAACACATCAACAGAATTGTTGGGCATAAATCTATACAATAAGTTGCTGGCGCACAAGAAATTTCTGGGGGGGAATGCAGAGAAAAGCAGGCAGAAGATAGGTTACACACATAGGTACGACTATTCCTACTATGCAAACATCGCATCCTCAAAGGTGAGTATGCACGAATTCAACTGGGCAAAACCCAAAGGAAGAAGATCCATTCACACATGGTTTGGGGTTGAAAAAGTTTAAGTTTCTGTACAAATCTCCTAAAACATACTATGTATTATGTATCAAAAGCAGCTCAAAGAGCTAACCAACCAGTATTTAGAGAAACAATATCCCTCCAAGTGAAAAAAAAAAAATTTGAGTATAAACCCGGTCCCAAAGGGAGTATACTGTTATTCCGGCTGCAACAGTAACTTCCCACTATAACTTTGTTAATGTGTAAACTCACAAAGACCTGCTGCTTTCCAAAAAGACTACAAAATACAGCTACACAATTAAGAGTGCAAACAGAGAACCCAATAACATCATCAACAAAGAAGGAAGGCAAACATACCAGCCACCTAGAATTCTATACAATTGAAGAGTAGCTTTGAGTTTCCTAAAAGTCATAGTAAAAAAAAGGAGGAAATATCTCTGGTTAAGCCATTTTCATTAGATGAAAATACACGTCATTACTTCAAAAGAGAAAAAATGTTCACGATCCTTAATACTGAAATTATGGTAAATAAAAAAACAAAACAGGGCAACGGAAACACCAAAAAAAATAAAATAAAAATCGCAGTCCATGATTCTAATATAAAACTGTCAAACCGAAAGCATTTCCGGTTGGATCACTAGCACTTTTTAAAGCTATGGGCCCGGGAATCCTCCAGACCTGCCTTCAGAACTCACTCTCAACACGGAATGAGCGAACGCCGGTGAACGGCACCGACATGGAGCGCGGGACCCTTCACTCCGCTACACGGAACAGGCCCGGCCCAGCGCTGTCATCTTCCCGTTTTGACAAAATGTCCCACGCCCGACAACTAGTTACTTAACTTCCAAGTTCAGTGTGTTTGTAGCCACCGCCGCGGCTACAAGGTAACTTCCAACGTGTTTGCAGAATCGGCTACAAAGACGCGCAGGGACCCTCCTGGATCTACCCGCGCTCCGCTCGGAGGACCCTGCAGCCGACCTGGGAAGGGGTCCCCGAGATTTCTCACGCAAAAGCTGCTCACGCGCGGCTGCCCTCGGCATCCCGCCGGGAAGGGCCGGGCCCGGGGCGGAGGGTCGCCCCCAAGGTAACCAGCTCGACTCGGGGTCCACTCTGGGTAGGGA